CATTCCTGTTTTAACCTCTCCACCATTTCCTTCAGAATTTGGTTTGAATTCAGCAAGTCATTCTCTGACTGTGCAAGTGAGGTCACTTGGATCTGCAAATTATTGATTTGCTTAAAAGAAGAGAAAACTTTATCAGGTCACGAACCATATGCAGTAAGGCATAGAGAAGAGGAGCTAGGAAGATCCCTCACAAACACCTCACGCCAACAGTATGCCCTAGAAGATGTCCTCTAGGGTCATTTCTTCTAACCAGAGACTACCAAGAACATATTCCTCAGTCACTGAGTTTCCCCTCTTCTTCCCAAATTAAACAGGCCAGAGAAGGTACTGGGTATGGGGAAAAGGATATCAGGAGGTGAGCAGGGAGATGAGAAAAGAGAATATAGTAAGAGTGAGCATCCAAAGAAAGAACAGATTTTGCAGGTTACATGCAAAAGCAGCTAAAGAAATGGGTTCTCCATCTCCCCCACCCCTAACCCAGGGATCAACAACCTTTTGGAGAGTTCTGCTCTCTGACCAGGCAGGAATTATTCACTGTAAATATGGGAAAGACCACTCTCACATTGAAGGTTTCCAAGCATTGTCTATGTCTAATGTTAGGACATTAAAGAAGATGCTCCAAGAAATCTAGTAAGGGCTAAGGATCCTTGGTCTCTAGAACCATTTATCAAACAGCATAATGTCATCTCACACTTTTTCTCAACCCAGTTTACCTTCATCTCAGAGTACTTTTTCTTATGAAAATTAGCTAACTATCTAGTTACAGATTTAACAGGCTAGAAAGACTAGAACTGCTTCTAAATTATATCCAAATAATCTTCATTTGGAACAGTTACATCTACTTCTCCCACAAGTCATTTTTCCAAGAATAAAAATAAGTCTTTATTTCCTCTTTTACTTTCTTTTACCTCTCTTAGCCATTCTCTGAGACATTTCAGAGCAAATAGAGTCAAGAGACAGGGATCAAAAGAATCTGTTACAAGATTCAAGGGTGAAAAGTTTCTTTATGCAACAGATTAATAAATGGGAAATAATCCTATCACTTCCTGAAGGCAGTAAAACCAAATGAGGAGGATTCTATATGTTCACAGAGCCATTATTAGCAGAATAAAATATAATTATGTATCTTGGCTTTCTATTTGAGAATGAATTCCTCCATGTAGAATTCTTCATTCTTTTATGTTTGATTGGAGTGACAATTATCACACTTGGTAATACAGCTGCCTGAGCAAGGAAACTTTAAAGCTTAATACCATCCACAGCCATAGGATGGCAGAAAGCCCAATACAAGGATACCAGATCACTTCTCTCCAGGCATCAAACATTATGCCCTCCTTGTTAAAACTTAGAAACCATAACTGCACATGCAAAGCAGTACCAGCTGTAGGCAAGCATAAATCCTAAAAATGGGATCCTCACTCTTTCATAAAGTAAAGGAGAAAAAACATTTTAAACAAAAAAGAAAACAGAATTTAGAAAGGAATATTCTGCCATGTTTTTGCCTAACCTTATATACATCTTTTCTGAACTCAAATAACTTTAATTAAAATATAAATTTCCTTCTGTAAGTACAACTCTTGGATTTCACAGGGATATAGCAAGAAATGTCTTATGGAATAAATGTAAAACTTACAAGTTAATCACACAAGTAACTTAAAACCCAAATGGATCTTTCTAACTAATTCTTTAAATTCAGAGTATCACAATATTGTCCTTTGAACTATAATTTTTAAAAAAATCATCATGGGTCACAGCATAAATATCTTAGGAAAGACAGTGGTTAGAGAGCCAGCCCTATAGTCTAGTGGTTAAAAGCACTAGATCCCACATGGTTGACTGAAGTCTGAATTCTAGCCCCAGAGGCTTAAAACACATGCCAGGTATGTATGCGTGCATGCCCCAAATCCCAACAGGATGGAGAAATGAAGAGGGGATTATAGCTTCACTGGGGGATGATTCCCCCTCCCACACACACACACTCACCACCCCCCCATTTCTCCGGCTATTTAAAAAGAAATGAAAAACAGCAACTAGAAAAAGTAGTTTAATAAAATTAAAGTACAGAGGTTTAATCATTTTATCTTTATATTAAAACCTTATCAATATATTATCAATCATGGTGATTAGCTTTTCAGAGTACTAATAAGCAAAATTCCTATAAATAGGCAAAACACAGATTTAAAGAAACATTTAAAAAGGCAAAATATTTGGTAAAATCATACCTGTTTCAGGTCAGAATTCTCATTTTTTTCCTTCTCTGCATTTTCAATATTCACAATTTGCTGTTGAAATTTTAACCTAAAAATCGGAACCCAACAAAACACATAATTAAGAATCCATATTTCACTTACTTCATTGCATCAGACAATCATTTTACTGAGTGCCTGTTTAACACCTGGCACTGTGCTATACACAACCATAAAGACTTGGACTTCAGGCAGCTAGGTTTTGTTCACATATGACTAAAATGTAACACAAATTGCTACTTCTGGAACAGGAAAATCTAAAAACTATAAGCACAAAGAGGATAAGAACGTAAGCTCATCCAGGAAGACTGAGACTACTACATAATAATCTGGCGGGTTAAAAAAACCCTTCATGAATACATTTATTCTATGAGTGACAGTGAGTGTGTGTGTGAGAAAGAGAGAGAGAAGGAGAGATAATAGCTCAACATGGTCCTGATGCTGTGATTCACCCCCAGTTTCAACCAGCCCCAGATGATGGGAATCCACAGGCCCAGGGTACAGGTCTCCAGATATAAACCAGCAACCTTCCCATATGGATCTACCTTTCAGAGCACTGTACTTTACTGCTGTACTACCATCCAGCCCCCCAAATTATAAGAAAAATAGGGAACAGCCTGAATAAGTAGTCTTCAGTGGAAAACTATACAATGTGTTGCTAAGGCATCAGAATGTAGTCCACTTTAGGAGAAACCATCTTACATCCACACTATTTTATAATTTATAAAATGTTTTCCTGGCTGGACCTAGTAGTTAAGGGATACTGGATACCAAATGGCTGACCATGGTTTGAATCCCGGCCAGTGATCTAAAAGATAAACTAGATGCATGTGCATGTGTGCCTGGAGTCTCGACAGGATGAAGAGAAGAAGAGGGGATTTTGGCGTGGCTGTGCCCCACTAGGGGTGCTTTCTTCCTTTCCATCTGTCAAGCACATGTGCTCTTTGTTAACTTAAAAAAAATTTAAAAAAGAAAGAAAAAGAAATTCTTTCATATATACTGCTATTTTGCTTTCACTCTACAAGGTTACAGATTTAAACGAAAACTATCTAATATAGGATATCACACTGTATTCTATAAAATATTTTACGGTATTTTCACCTCTGAGATAAATATTCATGCAATTTACAACCCCTTCAAAGGGAATAATATATCCTCAACTAGAGTCTTAAAATTCAAAACATGTCTGGCAACCAAATGACTAACCTCATAAGGAAGATTTTATACCGATTAGGCTTGGCAGGGGGGCCCCTCAGTCTCCCTGTTTTTAAAATTCTCCACTGTCCAGCAATGCTTACACAGTGGTAATACAATGCTCCACAACACTGAAGCTATAAGGAAAGGCTACAGACTTGCATCATGAAACGTCTTTGCACTTGCCAGGTGCAGGCAGGCCTATGATTCCAGCTAGCTGAGGCTGGGGGTGGATCATGATGTGAAGACTCTGTTAAGGGTTGCCTGTGTCTCTTGCACATAGAAGACATCAATAAACTTTTAAAAATTTCTTCAATTATCTCAAATATAATCTGTTTGTCAGTTACTACTTATAATGTGGCATTATAATGTATCTTATCTGCTTAATTAGAATGTGCTTATTGGGATCACAACACTCTCAAGAACCTAGAACTATGCTTCAAATACAGTAAGAATTCAGTATTCATTGAGGCTAGATGAGGGTGGCGGCACAGTGGTAAAATGCAACACTATGCAAGGCAATCCCACAAGAGAAGATTCCCAGTTCAAGTCCAGAGACTTGAGTCCTCTAGACACACATTTAGCCATGATTTGAGGTTGGCTGAAACTGGGGGCAAATCATGGTGTCAAGAGCTCACTGACGATTCTCTCTCTCTCTCGTGGAGGAAATAAATGAATTTAAGAAAATATGTCTGGGGCTGGCTTGTGGGGTGGTAGTTGAGGTATTGGACTCCCATTTGGCAGACCACAGTTTGAGTCCAGGACCTGCCAGCCTACTTTCTCGCTTTCTCTCATTCTCTAGTCAAATGAAAATAAATGAATAAATTAAATTAAATAAATAATTCTTTAAGGGAAAAAAAAAGAACCTAGAACTATGCTTCAAATACAGTAAGAATTCAGTATTCATTGAGGCTAGATGAGGGTGGCGGCACAGTGGTAAAATGCAACACTATGCAAGGCAATCCCACAAGAGAAGATTCCCAGTTCAAGTCCAGAGACTTGAGTCCTCTAGACACACATTTAGCCATGATTTGAGGTTGGCTGAAACTGGGGGCAAATCATGGTGTCAAGAGCTCACTGACGATTCTCTCTCTCTCTCGTGGAGGAAATAAATGAATTTAAGAAAATATGTCTGGGGCTGGCTTGTGGGGTGGTAGTTGAGGTATTGGACTCCCATTTGGCAGACCACAGTTTGAGTCCAGGACCTGCCAGCCTACTTTCTCGCTTTCTCTCATTCTCTAGTCAAATGAAAATAAATGAATAAATTAAATTAAATAAATAATTCTTTAAGGGAAAAAAAAAAGAAAATATGTTCGTTGATAGACTGGATGAGCCAGCCCAAGTCCTGGATTACATTTTAAGACTAAGATAACTGGACAACATACATGAAAGAAACCTGAAGATCTGATCTATTGCTTCCCGAGGTGTCTACATACAAATGCCAGAATCAGTGGGTCAAAAAGCACCTCCTTTTATTCCTTTGTCAGTCAATACAGTTGTACTTTTATCTCATAATTCTAGCTATATTAGATTCTCAAATTTGTTGTATATGTCTTTCAGTAAATATTTATAGATGATGATAACTTGGTGTTTTTAGGTTACTGAGTTGATAAAGGTTTCTTTCTATAAAAGTATGACGATGAAAATAGCGAAAGAATACTGTGGATCCTAGCTCAGGTCTAGAGTTAGAAAACTTAGGCCCCAAATATATCCTGGCTCAGGTTGAGAATTTAGATATACTTGACAGATTAACAAAAACAGGATCCAGTTAAGAAAGTATCCACGGCCTGAATTTTTTTCTAAATGAGTTAAATACATATGACAAAAAACAACTGAACTCTATATACAAGAACTGAGTAGGACCAGCAGTTGGCATAATGGCTATGTCACTGGACTCCCATGTAGATGACTGCAGTTCAAGTCCCGGACCCAGTGGCTTAAACTCACAGTGCTGGGTGCATGTGCATGCATGCCTAAGATCCCGAGAGAATGGAGGAGAGGGGACAGTGGCATGGCCATCTCCCTGGGGGTGGGGGGGGGAGATGGTGGTGGTGGTGATTTCTTGCTTTCTGTCTCTTTCTCGCAAGTGCACGTGCCCTGTAGCAAAAAAAAAAATAAAAACAAAAAACAAACCCTCTCCACCCCTCCCCCCCAAAAAAAGAATTGAGTAAAGAAAGATACCAGTAGTAAAGAGTATCTGAGTATTATTGAAATATAAAAGGAATTAGAATATCGTTATGGTGGTTTATAAGAGATAGTATACAATAATCAGTTCACTTTGCTGAAGCAACACTGTGATAGAATATAAAATGATGGGGCCAGCAAATGATGTAGTGGTTACATTGCTGAACTCCCATATGGCTGACCACGGTTCAAGTCTCTGACCTGGTGGCTTGAAACTCATGGCAGGCACATGTGCATGCATGCTCAAGATCTCAGGAGAATGGACGAGAGAGACTGGAGCATGGACATCTCTCCTGGGAGGTGATTTCTCACTTTCCCTCTCTTTCACTCTCTGTCTGTCTGTCTCTCCGGCAAACACATATCCCCTAAGGAAAAAACCTCTACAAACAAACAAACAAATAAATAAATAAATAAAATTGATATGAGATATTTTTAAAGGAGAAAATTAGACAATGAGTTGGGGCTGGCAGGTGGCATGGTGGTTAAGGCCTCTGGACTCCCACATAGTTGACCATGGTTCAAGTTCCAGACCTGGCAGCTTGATTTCTCATTTTCTCTCTCTCTCATCTCTTTCTGGTCAAATTAAAAAATAAATAAATGGATAAATAAAGTTAAATAAAGTAATCCTTTAAAAAATTAGACAATAACTTTAATCATTACTTTTAGGATTTTAAAAGAGAATGAAATTTAACATTAATAAAATTAATTCTAATAGTCATCATGTTTTAGGAATAAGATCAATAGTCTTATGTCTCAATAACAAAAGAGTTTTAAAAAGGTAGACAGTGTTTCAAAGACAGTGCTACAGATTTAGGAATAAAGGGAGGCTGTTTTTTTCTTTGAAAAAAAATTTTTTATTATTACTTTTTAATTTGCTATAGGTCACATGTACTCACCAGAGAGAGAAAAAGAAAGAGATAGAGGAAGTGAGAAAGCAAGCTGCCAGATCTGGGACTCAAACCACAGTCAGCCATGTGGGAGTCCAAAGCCTTAACCATCATGTCATCTGCCGGTCCCTGGGGTATCTCTTTTAATTACAATGTTTTAAATATCCAAGTTGTGTCAAAACAAGACAAATGAAAATAAATCTTATAACAGAAGTACAAGGACAGAAGAAAATACAATTAATTTTCATTAGGAGATCAGTAATGGCTATGTAAAAGAGATGTAATTTAAACCAGACCTAGAAGGCAAAGAAAGAGCCTGAGATAGGGAAATAAGAGACATAGGTGAAGAAGTGTGCAAATAATGAAGACAGACCTCTAAAAAACAAAGGAGATGGGATTAAGAGCACCAAAGTGTTAGAAATAAAGGGAAAAAGGATATTTTTACTAAAATAGAAAGGGAGGAGGAAGGAATGAAGATACAGGAATTCTAAGAAAGTGATAAGTTGAAAGAATTCATGTCCAGGACTCTTAGCTCATGTACAAGTGAGAAAACAATTGAACAGTGTTTCAAAAAATTAATGCCCAATATTATCTTATACATATAAAAATTCATATAAAGTGGTCATTAAAATCTAAATGTAAAACCAAAATCTTTTTTCTTTACAAGAAGGCATAAGAGATATCTTTGTTAATAGAGGATTAAGCAAAGACTTCTTAAAGAGAACACATACACACAAAAATTGATAAAGTAAATTTCATCAAAATAAAAAAACTTATGGGGGCCAGC